CCAGCTTGCATTCCCAAAAAAAGACTGTCTTAAGTGGGTGCTCTGAGAGGGACTTTGGGTGCATTCAGCGACCTCCTACGTGCTGTTTCTGCTCTGAGTGTTTAGGTTGGCTCCCTGGAAGTGCTTTTCTGTGTTGGCATCTCCCGTGGACTGAGTGCTGTGTCCCCCCTTACCCGTCTGGTGAAGCGTTCCTGCAGGGAGGGCCGGGAACAGCGTGTGCAAAGTCAGCTTCTCGGACCAGCGGGTGTGCCTGAGGACAGCCCCGTATGAGGAGTGGGTTGCTGTCAGTGTGCTGTGGCGGGCTGTCCAAGGGCCAGTGTGGGGTGCACGGACTTGGAGGTGATTGGATACTGTCGAGGGTGTCACTGTGACAATGGTCCCTGGAATCCCAGGAGTGCAGGCAGGCTTGCTGTGAGACTCGGCACTGGGGAGCCCTGCACCCCCTCCCTCGCTGGTCTCCTGGGCTCCTTGCCTGATGCGTGGACGGGGCTCCAAGACTTGCAGTCCTGGAGAGTCACCAGCTTTAGAGTCGGAACCTTTGCTTAAGGGAGTATAGTTTGGTGGAAGCTTAGTGAACTTGACAGATGAAAGTGCTTTCCTGTTGTGTGCGTGGCATGCCCCCACCCACGTTACCGTGACTGCTGACGCCCATGACATGTCTGGTGAAGAGCAGTGCCCTGTGCCGAGGCGGCACCTGTCCTGGGGGAGGGGCTGTGAACACCGGGCCCCCTGGGAAGGTAAGTGTGAATTCCACATGTGTTAAAAAACCAGGGGCCCATCGCTTGGGTTGCTCCTCTGGATGAGTAAGGAAATGTGAGGTGTTGGAAGGCTGTGCTGGTAGCTAATTCTGACCTTTCAGAGTGAGGGGGTGCTTGAATGTGGGGCCCACGGGTGCCTCCTGGTGCCAAGGGTGTCTCGCCCCTCAGGCTCCTTCCGTGAGTAAATCCTATGCTGGCGTGAAGGACACTTGCTCCTCAGAGAGTTGAAGGAGCATCACTTCTGTGTCAGAGCTCAGTTCTGGCTCATTTCATGCACACACACATGCACACACATCATGTTCCGTGTAGCCAGTGTCACGTCTGGTGGGTATGCCAGCACATGCGTGTGCATGTGTCCACATGTCATACATATATCATCTTCCGTGTGTCCTGTGCCACTTCTGGTGGATGCGCTCGCACTCCCAGTTCTGAAACGCGTTTGCACACGGTCCCTGGGCCACAAGGGCCCTCAGGTGCCCGCAGCCCGGGTTTACGTGGAGTCACCCCCACTGTGGTGTGAGGGACGTCCAGGTGAAGAAGAGGGGTCTTCCCAGGCCTGTGACAGCTCACCTCAGATCCAGGACGGACCCGTGCCTCTCTGGGGCTTCTTCAGGAAAGAGCGCTCTCTCTTTGACTTTGCAGTTTCTGGAGAGTAAAAATCTTACGGTTCCTAATACCTTCCTAACTTCAATTTTCCTGGTTATTCTGATGAACAGGGCTTTTCTGTATCATATTATTTCAAGGCTGATGTAGAAACAGTTTTCCTCTTGGAAGATTTAAAAAAGAAGGGAAGCCTTTTAAATTGTTCACATCCTAGTTTTTATGCCCAGAGTCACGTGATGCTGACATTGGGACATTGGCTGTGAGCGCATCAGCACGTAACTAGCAAAGTCTTGAATTCAGAAACTAAGGGAATGGACAGTTAGGTTATTAAAACCTGAGGGAGATCACTCTTCACCTAACTTGTTTGTATTTGAATGTTTGTTTATGTTGAGAGAGAGAGAGAAGGGGAGGGGCAGAGAGAGGGAGAGAGAGAATCCCAAGCAGGCCCCCTGCTGACCACGCAGAGCCAAAATCTCACGAACCCAGATCAAGACCTGAGCCGAAATCAAGAGTCAGACGCTTAACCGACCAAGCCCCCCAGGTGCCCCGTGTCACAGTTGTTGATGTAATTACAAATATTCAAAACTTATTTATGCTTGGCTGTTACATTGTTTGATCAGAATGAAATAGTGACCAGGCTTCACAGAAAGGAAATCAGAGCCTTGGCCCTTGATACTACAAGCATGAGGTTACCCTGTGAATCTTCCTAAATTTAACTTCTCTGTAACCCCCTTGTTTAAAAATCTCTGTAACCCTTTTAAATCAAGTTGTGTAGAATGATCATCTTTGAATAATCTATGGAAAAGTTACTGATTCAGTTAATAAAATGCGCTGGAGGAGAACTTGGTTAACGAAAGGCACCGTTCTGATGCACCTGTGATGCCGCTCGCAGCCATCGCTGCGGCGTGATGACCCTGGTGATCGCGAAGCTTCCCTGAGGTATTGTCACAAGTCCCAGCAGCGGCACGTTTCAGTGTCACAGTTACCCTGTTGCCCGAAAACTGCCCCTGTCCCGTCGCTGCCCCGCTGGGGTGTCCTCACTCCACCTTGTTCGCTGTGGCATGTTCCCTGAGGTGAGCGGGACCTGCTCTGTCGAGTGGGCCGTCCTGCACTTCGGTCCTGTCGGTGACGACGTCTCGGTTTGCCGAAGACAGGCTCAGGGAGGAGGGGGACCGGGTTGGATACTGAGCTGGCGCTGCTTTAACTTCTTCCTTCCGGGAGCATTTGAATTCCAGATCCTGAAAGCGAACCAGATGTGACACAAGTGTGACTTTTCCTTTAAATGTTTATCTTAGGGCCTGCTTTTTTGAGAGTTCGCCATCAAGGAGTATTCAGAAATGTATCATTTGGAAAGGGGTTGTTTTCCATTTAGTTGTCTCAGATCTTAAGACACAGGCCCATGTGCGTCGTGTGCGCACTGAGGAGTACACGGGGTGGGCCGGGCACAGTGCGTATGCTCTCCAGGACCCTCCATGTTAGGGCAGGCTGCAGAGGACTTGCTTCGTCTGTGCGGGGCTTAGTTTCAAAGGACGGTCTGGGAAGCGGGAAGCGGTAGCCAGGGAGGACGTGGTCAGGACAGGTCTTCCGTTGTGTGCAGACGTGAGGGCAGGTGTGGTCTGTTCTGCCGGCCTGTGCTAGGCCGCAGGGATGTCACAAACACTGCCCCGTCCTTGGTAGGGCGATGGGCCACACTGATTTCCTCCTGGATGCACTCTTCAAAGGCGGACTCCCGTCCACAGGACGCCCCTGCCCTTGCCTGAGTGCTTGCTCCTCTGCTCTGTCCTTCTGATGCAAACGGATCTCTTGGTTTTGTTGCGAGCTCCATCTGAGAGGTGAGAAGCGGGGGGCTCTGCGCTGTTTCTGATGTGGGGCCAGGAGAGCGCACTGCCTGGCATTTCCGGGCCAGCATTTTCCACACATCGTGTGTTTTTTTTTTTTCTTAGCTATGAAATTCCGGCAGATTGTTATGCAAAACAGCTTTGTGTCTCTGTGTGACTGGGAAGACAGCTGTTAGTCCTAATGAGGAGTGCTAGCATTACAGTCTCTCCGGTGATTGAGACCCGCGGAGGGAGCGGAATGTTCCAGATCGGCCAGTGGTGTGCGGTGAGAAGGTAGTGCGCTGTCAGCTGGAAGCACACGCCCGGCTGCTCTCGGCGACAAGATAAATGAGTCGGCTGGAGTTCGGCAGAGTCTGAGCTTTTCCAGTGAGCAGTCATGGCACAGTGGGTTCCCCCGGGGACCCGAGTCCGAGGGTGCCTCGAGAGCCATGGCCCCCGCGCCAGCTTTTCCCTTTGATGCCCTACAATACCTGTCAGGATGGTGATTTATTAAAAACCTAATGTCTTTCAGCATTTCATTAACATAAGGTGAGACGGTCTTTTGTGGAGACTTTTTTCATTAATTTAGCAGAATGTTCACTGAAATTTAACTTGGCCACAACTCCCTGAGAACCGGAGTCCACGGGGGAGGCCGGGCGTCAGAGTCCCTCCCAGCTTGTCGCGGCCTCTGCACCAGGCCAGGCCTGACGCTCCTCTGTGTTTGAGACGGGGGTTCAGAGGGGCCGTTGGCTTCAGGTCCGGGCTTACCTTCCTCCCCCTGTTCTCTGTGCATCACACGTGGGCCCCCCTCCACTGCCTGATATAGCATGGTGTCCACATTCATCCCCGTGATGACAGCGGGATTTGTGTCTTTTTTTATGGCCCAATAAGACCCTGTTGTTCATACACACATGCCATCTTCTTTGTACATTCGTGTGTCAGCATTAGCTGGTTTGCGTGTCCTGCCTGCTGTGAACATGGGGGCGCAGGTACCTCTTCAGGGTACTGATCCGTTTCCTTGGGATGCATGCCCGGTAGTGGTGTTGCTGGATCACAGGGTAGTTCTATTTTTAACTATACAGGGAGCCTCCACACTGTCCTCCACACTGTCCTCCACAGTGGCTGCACCAGCTTGCATTCCCACCAACAGGGCATGAGGTTCCTTTTCTCCACGTCCTGACCAACACTTGTGTTCTGTGTTTTTGATGGAAGGCATTCTAAGGGGAGTGAGATGGGATGCTGTGGTTTTGATTTGCGTTCCCCTGATGGTTGACGGTGAGCATCTTTTCATGGGCTTTTTGGCCTTTTGTGAATCTTCTGTGGAGAAAGTTCTGTCTAAATTCTTGGCACGTTTTTAAATTGGTGGTGGTGGTGGTGGTGGTTGAGTTAAAGGAATAGGTTTTTCTCCAATGTTTTGATTAAACTGAAAGTTAGGCTGGATTTTTCTTTTTCTTTTTCTTTTCTTTCTTTTCTTTTTTTTTACATTTGTGCTATCAGGTGCGAGTATGTAGACATTTTGGCAGGTTCTCTCTAATCGATGTCTTCCGGTAGCTTCTCTTTGATCCATTGCCTGAGAAGGTAGAGCTGAGTAGAATGGACTGTACTTTTCTAATGCTCATTGTGTTTACACTCACAGGGAGATTGAAGCAGGAATTAGTGGAGTCGGAGACAACTGTCCGCTTCCACGTCTCCAGTAGCCTTTCCACCTGCCTCACCAGTCTCTGGCAGCGGGATTGTGTGCTCATTACGGAGGTGGAGAGGACTTGTGTCTGCATCCTGGGACTTGCTGATGATCTTTTGAACCTGTGCCCTTTACTTGTAGCACCGTGACCTCGGCCGTGTTCACCGTGGGAGATAATGTTGTTTCGGGCAGCGATGACCGCACCGTGAAGGTCTGGGATTTAAGGAATATGAGATCCCCCATTGCGACTATTCGCACAGACTCTGCCATCAACAGGTGAATGTTGTTATGTCCTGCTTGTTATGTCCTGAGAGGGTGGCTTGTCATGCAGTGTTTTATTCATGTACGTGTGGTGTTTAAGAGAGCACTTGGAAAAGTGCATTAGACTTCTGGGGAAGTATTTTTTGCAGGGGGGATTATTTTTTATTGATCCTCATGCAGATTTAGTATCCCCTGTGTGCTGCTGAAATGTGAGTATAAAATCGGGCTGGGGCGGTGAGCTTCAAAGGAGAAGAATGAGCCACCTTTGGGCAAGCGCTGTGGGGCTGCATTTGAGTCACTGTCATTACAGGTAAGTGACTCGGTCTCTGTGTGCTGACGCTGCAGACAGATAGCACCTGCCTTGAAGCGTGAATGGTGCGAAGTCTCCCACTGCGTGATAGTCTGTAAACTCGGAGACTTGTGCCGTCCTGACTTCATCCATAACCCACTTCGTCTCCCCTTCGCAGGATCAATGTATGCGTCGGCCAGAAGATAATCGCCCTCCCACACGACAACCGGCAAGTGAGGCTGTTCGACATGTCGGGCGTGCGGCTGGCGCGGCTCCCCCGTAGCAGCCGGCAGGTAGGTGTGCTTTCGCCCCGCGTGTTCGCCCCGCGTGTTGGCAGCGAGCCTTGGGGACGGCGTGGAGTCTCTGTCCTAGGTCACCACTGACCGACGAGCCCCACGTCGTTTTAGGTTTTCTAAAAAGAGAGAAACTAGCGATATGTTTAAATTATCCAGATATACTAGACATAAGTGCTTTTATAATTGTAATCGATATAAACACACCAGAGGTGTCACATTCTTATTTTCCTACTGTCATTGGATGCTAGATTTCACTGGAAGTACTTGGTCTGTGTTTAGGACTCACAAAATTTAAAGTTGAAGGGTTCCCCAGTACCTGAACTGAGTGTGCCACATGTTTTTAAACTTAAATGAGATGGCGCACTCTGCCCCCCAGTCTCGTGTGGGGAGCAGAGGGCGCCCATGGTGGCGGTCCCCCTCCGGGACAGCACAGCCTCTCCTCTTGGCAAGTGAAAGTGTGCGCCCTCACTCGGATGCAGAGGTGTGGGCCTCGGGGCCTCTTTCAGAAGAGGACCCGCCCCGCCCAGACCGGAAGAGCCCTTTCCCTGGCAGGTGCAGGACGGGAAAAGCCCATCTAGATGCAGCTTTGCTGGGAGTCAGCCCAGACGGTGCGGGGGAGGGGGAGTGTGGTGCTCGTGGCCATGGCTGCGGCTCAGACCTGCTGATGCACATTCCTGGCGTGCCACCTGGGAGTTCGCACTTAGGTGGTTCCCGACGGCTCCTGTGGGGCAGTGGATGTCGCTGTGATGCATAACCCCCCATACGCTCCCTCCTGCATCCTCCCGCCCCTCCCTTCCCATCTTCCCCCACTACCCCTCAATCCCCATCGCTGAGGCCGCACCTCTGCAGGCCTGGTGCTTAACTGAGCCTTGCCCCCTGGCCCCCCTCCTTTTCCTCCCACGGCCTTCTCCGTGTGTCAGTGTGACAGCCGCGTGGGCGAGCCAGTTCGTGTGGCCCCTGACGCTGCAGTCAGCGTCTGTGCCCCAGCGCCTGCCACGCTTGCTGCCCCATGGCCGTGGCTCTGCCGACCCCTTGTGGAGGCGCCCCCTGTCGTCTTGTGTAAAGCCTCACAGAGTGGTTTGTGACCCGCAGGCCGGCCCTGGTGTTAGGAGCTGTAGACCGAAGGTGGCTTCAGAGGCCAACGGCGAAGGGTGTTGGCTGTCAGCGAGGCCTGACTTTACGTGGCGCCAACTCTCCGTGAAAGGCCTCTGCCCTCAACACGGGGTTTCACCTGCTCTCCCCCTCGGGGCTTGTACGCATACTGTCCTAAGTTCATTTTGAAACTCTATTCTTTGAGTACACGTCACAGAAAAGGTACTCGTGAAATTAGAGTGCTTAATAAAATCTTCACCTCCCCCCCCCGACAAAGGGAAGGTTCGAGCTTGGCACCTGCAGAGTCCCTGCTGTGCGTGCACGCTGCGTCGTTAACACGCTGGGACCCATGTGTGGTACCTGACGGCGCTGTGCGGCCTGTGAGGGCTGCGCCTGGAACACGAGGTCGGGCGTGCACGACTTCTCTACTTCGAGAACGTTTTCCTCGAGAAAGTACGGAGTTGTGAGAGGTTCTGGTGGTGCTGATCTCGTGGAGGCAACTCGCGTTGGTTGTCTGTACACGTGTAGCCCTGTTGAAACGGTAGAATTTGTGGTGCTCGGATTTGTTTCCTCCTGAAGTGTTGTGTTGAATAGAATTATTTTTAAGATTGATGAGTAACGTTTCACTTAATTCTGAACTTGTGACACTTCTTCAGATAGAAAAATGCTGGGCTCGGTGTCCCGGAACCACAGCCGGCAGTCCCTGCTTTCTGTCGCCCCGGCTTCTTTGAACCGACAGACTTTAAGAAGACAAAACAACAACCTTATTTGAAATTGGTAGCTAGAGCGAAGGTGGCTGACAGCGTGAACTTGTTTTACTTTGGGGAGAGTGCAGGTGGTGTTTCCCAAAAGTGTGTTTCATGCCAAGCGAGCTCTGTAGAGCGCTGGAGGGGCCAAGGGACAAGGCTCTGGGTGCAGCGTGTCTGTGAGCTGTTCCAGAAAGCACACTGGCCCGTGGCCGGTGTGCAGCGCTCTGTGCAGTGTGCACATTGTGACCCGAGAGGGGGCGGGGCGTTTCTAAAGTACACATGTGCCCCAGGCATGTCCGTGTGCACTCGGGTCCGAGGGACACAGGAGGCTGGACTCCAGGTGGGTCCTGGGCGAGTGCTCCTTTGCCAGCGTTCTGCGTGCTGGCTGGCCCTGCCTTACCCCCTTACTAAGCACCTGACCTGAGGGTTTCTGTCGGCAGTGCCTTGAGTTGACTGATCTTTAACTGGTTCCTGTGCAGAGTCCTGATCACTGCCAGTTAATGGATGCATCGTTCCCTCTTTCTTCTGAGGTTTTTAACAAAGAAGCCTAACAACATTGCTCTTGAAACCCTTTGTTGTGTGGGTTTCTGTTGGCAGTACTTTATTTTGTGGACTGTTGTCTTCTTTGTCATAGAGAGCACTTTCCACATGTGGATGCTTTACCAGGGAACTTCTGTGCCATTCTTGTTTTTTTCCTGTCTTTTTTTAAGAGGGAGAACAAGCTGGGGAGGGACAGATTGAGAGAGAGAGAGGGGGAGACAGAGAATGCCAGGCAGGCTCCACACTGTCAGTGCAGAGCCTGATGCAGGGCTTGATCTCAGAAATGTGGGATCGTGACCGGGGCCAAAACCAAGAGTCTGACACTTCACCAGCTGAGCCACCCGGGGTGGGGGTGGGGGGGGGGGGGTCCCTGTGCCATTCTTCTGAGTGTTCCTTTTACTTCTGAAATTTCTGTCAGCTTTCCTTAATCCTGTTTCTTGTACTTTATCACTAGACCGTGATCACGTTAATCTGGAAGTATATTAACATGTGCTGAGGCATTGCTGTGTCTCTACACGTATACACTAGGTATATCACATTCTAAAAACTTTGCTAGTGTTTGGCAGTAATTTTTTCCAGCATTCTGATAACTTAGCTGGACTTCCTGAAGGTAGCAGGAATTGACTTGAAAGATCGTTTATTTTATCCTTGTCTTATTTGATACGAAATGTATTTTTCTGGCCACTTTATTACCAGAGCCAACTATTTGTTAAAATGGTCTTTGAGGTCTTTGAATGGATTTCATTTATTTTATTCCCAAATATTATCTAGCTCATTAAAAAATCTTCAAATTGATCATATATTCTTTTTCCCTGACTATAATCTTACTCATTTTATTAAAGAATCACAAAATACTTTTGGTCACGTGTGCTGACGCCCCTCGCCCCGCCTCGGCCTCTCCGCAGCACGTGGCCGAAAGCTTGTTGCCACGTGCACGGTTTGTGGCTCGTGTTGACTAATGCCGCCTGTTAATGTTTTTTTCTTTCGACTCCGTTGCCTTGATTCGTGTAGTTGTAAATCTGGCTGAGGTTTTATCGCGCTTCTGCCTTGGGAAGGATATACTAATTCTGGTTTGTGTGATAATAGGGCCACAGAAGAATGGTGTGCTGCTCGGCGTGGAGCGAGGACCACCCCATGTGCAATCTGTTCACCTGCGGGTTTGACAGGCAAGCCATTGGCTGGAACATCAACATCCCTGCGTTGTTACAAGAGAAATGAGGTTGCCGGCGTTCCTTAGTCGCGTGGTTCACCGTGGACCTGTGGACCGGTGCCGCTTTTCTCCTGTTGGTCAAGCCCTTTTTCTGAGAGTCGGGCCCTGACGAGGGTGATTTGTATGTTCTTTTCTCATTGTACCCAGCTTGCATGAAATGTACAGCAAAACGTATGGTCCTAAGTTTTATTTTCGTCTTGTGTGTGTGCTGGCGCCCTCCGTGCAGTGGAGACGAAGCCCCTTCCCCGTAGCACGTCGTGTGTTGTGAGTTGCTGGCGTCTGACAGCTGACAGGAGGGCATTACGTTTGCGTGAGTTAAATGTGAACCCGCGTACTTACTGTGAGGCGCAAGTAGAGTGTAGCGTTTCTGGAATAATTATACACGTCTGCCTTGTGCCGGGAAGGTCGCGGAGCTGCACCCGCGTTGGCTGACGCACGGCAGGTGCGCTGGAAGACTTGAGGGTTGCTTCCGCGTGAGGTTTTAGCGTGTGCCGTGCTGTCACGGAGCTTCAACTCCGTCCCGTCGTAGTTACGTAAAACAACCTGGATGTTAGACGCTAACAAAAGTAGGCTGCAGACTTTACATTTGGAGAGTCGTTTGAAAAGAAAAAGTTTCTGCTCTTTTTGTGGAAAATCATTTCAATCTCCTGAGGTCTCATGTTAGCAAATTCAAAAATGTGATTCTAATCACTGATTTCAGATACTAAGCAAAATTTAAAGCACTTTAGTTTATAGCCATGGTTATAAACAGTTTTGAGAAGTTACAGATGACTTATCCATTGAATGTGACTTGACCTTTTGAAGAAGGCCCTGCCTGCTACCTGAAAACAAAACCTTATTTATTTTCTATTCTACACTTTGGTTTGCGTATTTCTAAGGGGGTTCACTTCCTTGGTGGTGTTTGAGAGCCAACAATGCAAATAAATGAGTACTACCTCAGAACAGCATGTTTGGAGACCGGGGGCGTCTCGCCACTGCGTGTGGCTGGGATGCCCAGTTCAGTTCCGAAGGCAGGACAGACAATCATAGCGGCCGGCAGGGGCGGCTGCAGCGATGCGTCGCAGGCCGGCAGCTTGCTCCCGTTTCGGCAGCCGGGACGCCCCTGCGTGCCAGCCCTGTCACTGCCCGGGCGAGCCCGTCGCTCTTGCCTTCGTAGGACTCACTGTTGTCCGCTGTTTGTGAGTTCGTGTTTCTTGCTCAGTCACAGTTTTGATAAAGAGCCGTCTCTGCGTACCGCCCTCCTATTTTTAATTCTTTGAGTGTGTGCACTTGGAGAGGCACAAGAGGGTGACCGTGAAGACGATCGTGGGTGCCCCACTTCTGGTGGTGACGGCTGGCGGAGGAGCGCATGGGCCGCCCTGGGTCCTGAGTGAACGCGCCTCACTTGAGGCTCCCGTGGCTCAGGTCCTATGTGTGGTACCTCGCGAGGAATTCCAGCCCCAAATTCTCTGGAACGATTTTGAGATGATTGACACGGTCTGGAAGGGAAGAAGGACCAGGAGAAACCCGTCCTGCTACGGATGGTTGAGGTCGGTGCCTGGAGGGCGCAGAAAGTCATTTCTGAAGCCTGCCTTCTGGCCCCTGCCGACCTAGGGGCACCACACCCCCAGCGCCAGAGTGTGGGTGACCTCGGGCCTCCAATCGGTGTGTCCAAGCTCTTGGGCTCCTGTTGTGTTTTAATTTGAATGTCTGGGTGTCTTAGAATCATTGTTAGGAGCACTGAAAAACGTATACAAACACAGTTGAATCAGACTTAAGAACCAGATCTCTGCCGGATTAAAAAAAGTGGAAGCTTTGAAATAAATATTTTTGATGGCCATTTAGTTCTCTGCAAACTAGTGCCCTCCGTGGCCGGCAGCTGCTCACTGTCTCGCCAACGGGAGTGGCCGACCTCCTCACTCCTCCCGCGTCTCCACGAGGGCACAAGGCCTCATGCTTTTGGGGAGAGTTCTCAGGAGCAGGACACCCTACTATCACGACCACGTTGTCCTCTGACGTGCTTCCATTCAGCTGCTGCTGTGGCCTTAGTGGTGGTGTTTTCGGGAGTCATGGAGATTTGGGATCGTGCGTGTGCGCGCGCGTGCGCGTGCGTACTTGTGTGGCTGAGGTTAAGTCGTGATCAGCCACATGTGATCTCATCTGAAATCGTGTTTGGAAATGAGAGTGGTTTTGCTCACATGTCCAGAATTTCATTTGATAATGGAAGGAAAATGTGTGGTTACTGGAAAATGTGTATTGATAGAAAGTTTCATAAGAACTACGTTGTTGGACAAAACAGCACTGCACATCGCTTTCTGTAGAGACAAAAATTGTGTGCATATTTTGGAATTTGAAGAATCCTATGTAAATCACCTGTTGCTTAAATCTGTGAAAAACAAGTTTCTTTGGGGGGAAAGTATGCATTTATAATTGTTGTGTACAGCAAGTGTTTTTATTGTATTGGTGTGATTGTTTTTAAGTGTTGAATGTCTTCATTGCCATATGAAATTCATTAAAAATCCACATTCTGTAATCACTATTGTAAAAATTTTATGTTATTGGGAGTCTTTTTTTATTCTTTATTTAAAAATTTTTTATTTTTATTTTTTTTTATTTATTATTATTTTTTTCAACGTTTATTTATTTTTGGGACAGAGAGACAGAGCATGAATGGGGGAGGGGCAGAGAGAGAGGGAGACACAGAATCGGAAACAGGCTCCAGGCTCTGAGCCATCAGCCCAGAGCCCGATGCGGGGCTCGAACTCATGGACCGCGAGATTGTGACCTGGCTGAAGTCGGACGCTTAACCGACTGCGCCACTCAGGCGCCCCTAAAAATTTTTTAAAAGACGTTTTATTTATTTTTGAGAGACAGAGCATGAATGGGGGAGGGGCAGAGAGAGAGGGAGACACAGAATCCGAAGCAGGATTCAGGCTCTGAGCTGTCGGCACAGAGCCTGATGCGGGGCTCGAACCTGTGAATGGGGAGATCGTGACCTGAGATGAAGTTGATGCTTAACTGACTGAGCCACCCAGGCGCCCCATATTCTTTACTTATTTTTTAAATTTTTTGCTTTGCTGAAAATTCTAGTATTGCCCACTTGAAAACTTTTAACTTTAGACTTCAAAGGTCTGTAATCCTGCCTGTGTGCTGGGCTCCCTTTAAGTGACAAGTAGGTATGCTTGTCCTCCCCGGCAGTGTCTGGAGGGAGTTAACAATCTGATACAATGCAGGTGTTGTCAGAGTCCCTGAGGGGTTTCATAAGACGTCTGCCCTGTTCTTACTGCGGTAAGCTTGTTTGAAAGTCTTTAAAAAATTGCATTTACAGAAAGCAGGCCCTGCTCGTTCTGTGGGGACAGTACGCATCTGGACTGGCTGCTCTTTCAACCGCTGTCCCCCGTGGGCGAAGCGGTGTGGTGGTTGTGGGAACCCGAGGAGACGTTCGGTCCCGGCCCAGGATCGTCCTGCTGCCTCTTCACACTGGTCGGGCTCCCTGCCTTCAGTCAGCCCCCAGAGGGCAGAAGTTCACAGACTCCTTGTCTTTCTTCCCTGAGCCTGTAGAAACATGTGATTAGCGTCCAAATTTCACAATTATGTCTTCAGTTACATTTAAAAGTTCACATGTTAGTATAAAGGATTGAGAAGGCGGGGTGCCTGGCCAGGTCAGTTGGAAGAGTGAGTGACTGTTGATCTCAGGGTTGTGAGTTTGAGCCCCACATGTAGAGATTACTTAAATAAATATTAAAAAAAAAAAAAAAAATCCCAAAGGCAAAACTGCTATTATGATAAGTTCGTCAAAATGCCACTCAGATGTGTCTCACTATGCCTAGATTTTCTGGTTTCCCTTAATAAATTAATAGTTAAGTTCAGACATTGGTAACACTTAAATTGTTACATGCAAAGTGTGCTATATAGTCCATATGACGGTGGGAAGAAGCTGAGAATGAAATCCTATAAAAGTATTGAGTAATTTAAAAATAATTTTATTGAAACATTTAAAAAATATTTATTTTGAGAGAGAGAGAGCATGATCAGGGGAGGGGCAGAGAAAGAGGGAGAGAGAATCCCAAGCGGGCTCTGCACTGTCAGCACGGAGCCCAGTGCTGGCTTGAACTCACGAACCGTTAGATATGACCTGAGCCGAGACCAAGAGTGGATGTTCAACCTACTGAGCCGCCCAAGCTTGAAACATTTTTAAGGAGCTTTTGGTCAAAATGAAACTGGATCAGGCAGATCTCTGGAGCCCTGAGAGCTCTCTGAGGCACAGGTGATGCCTGTGGGTTTTGTGGGCCCCGGAGCCACTTTAGACACGGGGTCCAGGAGGCGTAATCTGGCCCGAAGTTTGATGGGGGTGTCTGGAAGCGAAGAGAACACCTCTCTCACCCTCGGCACTGTGTCCCCTCACCTCTCAGCCCCTGACTGTAGTGTTTCTGTGCTCCACCTAACCCTCCTTTGGAAGGTTTGGAACTAGAACTAGAAGTCCGTGTCTCTCCAGTCACTTTGAGCTCCAGATGCTGAGAGAAAGAAGCAGCCAGAACCCTGGACTCTGCAAAGCTGTCTTTCAAGAATGAGTGGGAGATGCAGACACTTAGCGATAAACGAGGATGGTTTTCACCAGTTCTCTAGTGGACCGTCTTGAAATGCTATAGGGAGAAAAAGTCCCAGAGCAGTGGTTTCAGAGTGGGCAAAATGCCAACACCCACCCCTCTAAAGTGGTGTCTGCAGTTAGTATTTAAATTTCTTTCTTTCTTTTTTTTTTTAATGGCTGGGGGGATTAAAATTTTAACTTTTGTCCTTATAAGATACATAGTAAAATTTCAAGGGTAACCACAAAGGAAAACTTTGAAAAGATAAGGAAATGATGAAATGTGGTTACCTTATGTAAGGGGGTTAGGAAGTGTGGTAAGTTAGAACTAGAGTAGAAGTAATTTTTTTTTTTAGTGGGTTTTCTTTTTTTTAATGGGCTTACAATTTTAGAACCATCATAGTAAATCACCCAGAATTCGAAAAGTTCTTACTCTAAGGACAAACACACATGAGGTACCTAGTGGGAAAAACCTGATAAAAATAGAGACTTGAAATCACCCATGGAAATACTTAAAAACTTGAACCAAGACATTAAACAAAAAAATGAGAGAGCATTATACATTAATAGGAAGAGTCAATATTGGGGCACCAGGTGGCTCAGTTGATAAGCACCTGACTCTTGATTTCAGCTCAGGTCATGATCTCACAGCTTGTGGGTTCTAGGCCCTTGTCTTGCTCTGTGCTAGCAGAGAGGAGCCTGCTTGGGTCGGTCTCTCTCTCTCTCTCTCTCCCTCCCTCCCTCCCTCCCTCCCTCCTTCCCTCCCTCTCTCTCTTTCTGCCCCACCCCTGCTCATGCTCCCTCTCTCAAACTTTAAAAAGGAAGATAAGGGGCGCTGTGGTGGCTCAGTCGGTGAAGTGTCTGACTTTTTGGTTCAGCTCATGATCTCACATCTGTGAGTTTGAGCCCTGCATCCGGGCTCTGTGCTGACAGCTTGGAGCTTGGAGCCTGCTTCAGATTCTGTGTCTTCCTCTCTCTCTGCCCTTCCCCTGCTTGCATTCTGTGTCTCTCTCAAAAATAAATAAGCACTAAAAAAAATGAACAAATAAAAAGGAAGAGTCAATATTGTAAAAATGTTAGTTTTCCCATATTGCCAAGTAGATTAAATAAATGCTCTTTCAAATGCAAATTGTTCCAGAGTTTCTTGGGGGAATTTGACAGTCTGATTCCTCAATTTATTTGAAACAAAGGCCAGGATTGATGTGATACCCCAGAAAACAGGAGGAAGGAAAGGAGAAGAAAATGGTTTGCTAAGCCTGGCAGGGCTGTGGTAGATAGAATGTACTTTTGGCACAGGGCTGGAGAAATTGACCAGTGAGGTTAGGAAGAGATCAGATTGATTCAAGTATCTGTGAAAATTTGGAACATGTCATCTCCTAGAACCATAAGTCGGGAAGAAAGTGGCCTGTGTAATTAATGGTTCTAGTGTTATTAGTTATCCATGTGGATGGAACAGGAAACGAATCTGGATCCCTACCTCACACCAAAGAAAACCAGTGCAAACATTATATGTGAAAGGAAAAACATTAACTTTTCAAAAAAATACAAGAATGTTTGTATGATTTTGGGTCTATTCAGCAACTCTCCAAAAATGCATTAATCATACTAGAAAAAAGTGATACATTCAACCATGTTAAAAGTGAAGATTTGTGCTTTACAGGGCATGCTAGAAGAGGTGAGTGGTAAGCCACGGATGGTAGTCTCAGCCTATATAATCCACAAAGCATTAATATCCAGGATGGTATAAACAAAATTCTACATGTCAGTAGAAGAATTAGAAATTGGGCAGGAGGCGTGAATAGGTGTGTCACAAAAGGGAAAACTTGACTAGTCAATAAGGAAGCGTAGAAATAATAATAAAAAAAAAATCAAAATGAAATACTATTTCACAGCCATTAGATTTGGGAAAGCTCTGTCAAGCATATATACTGTTGGAACGCCTATAACTGTTGGTTTGGGTATAAAATAATGCAGCAAGTTGGGAAACACGATCTTGGAAGTCTGAATGTGTGAATGCCGCCTGGCCCCAGCAATTACGAACTGTCTTTAGAACATGGTTTGTTAAGGATGATGTGTGGAGACCATGCGGGTCTGTCTATGAAAATGAAGATTTCTGGCCCCAGAGCTACTGGCTGAGGATCGGGATCGATTGCAAGAATCTGCACCTCGAACAAGCCTCTGCTTGTGATTCCGCTGTCCATTTTGGGACCCACAGTCCCGACACGCCTCTTCCACGCGTGCCCGAGGGGATGTGAGCAAGGTCGTAGCGCCAGACTGGAAGCGACCAAGCACCATGGACCGACTGGGATGTAAGTTGTGGCACGTCTGTGCAATGAAATACAGCAGTAAAAATGAACGGGCCACACAGGACTACGTGGGATTGTTGATCTTGGAACATTGTGTTGAATCAAAAGCCATTTTTATAGAGCATGAGCAAGCGCAGCCATACACAAGTAGGGTCATATATTTTGGAACATGGGAGTTAAACTCCAGATTCTTCCTGCTGCTCTCTAGGCTGGCTGTGGAGTAGTGGGATGGGAGGTAAGGTGGGGTCAGGAAGAGCCCAGACTTCATGGCGTGCAGTTCCTGATGTAGACACCAAGCCTGTGTTCCAGCTTTCGTACTTCACAACTTACGTGTCCTTATTACTATTTTGTTAATGTGTCTAACATTATACGATTAAGGTAATATAAAAAATTCTAAACAGAAGATGCGTGCTATTACAAGGGTGGATGAGCGTGGTGGTGATAAAATAGGGGTTTTTGGAGTAATATTTTTGTCTGTGTCACGTTCAGGCCTCTCGCATACCCCTGTTCTACTCCAGAAATTAATTCTTGTTCCTGTTACAAACATGTAGTTCTATGATTCTACGGTGACTGATTTTTCAGTGTGTGCATTCCATGGGAGGAAAGACAAAGCCAGTTTTGTTCCGAGATAATATTCTTGAAAAAA